AGTGCCATCTCCAGTTCACCGCGGCAAAACTTGCTTGAAAGATAATTGTGTGACATAACAGCTAGCACTTTCCGACTGGTGTACACGCTTTCCGCCATGTTGTCTACCACAGGCTTGCCAACCTCAAAGTCTCTGTGGTGTATGCAGTAGTTGAGTTTGTGTTTTTCCACCAGCGGAATCAACTCTTTCTTAACCCAGTTCAAGTCGTGGCTGCTGAAAGTCACAAACACGTCATATCGAAACTTGCGACCGTTGTCTTTAGTTTCTGTTAAAAGGCAAATTAATGATGGTCATATCAGTGAAAATGGGCAATAAGTTAAAGGGAGCAATTGCAAAACGGTTTAAAATTCTTTTAATTCAGTCAAATACATGAAAGCTACATGCTTAGTTTTAGGAACCGGAACCGCTATACCGCTAACTAATATATTTAACCCTCGGGCGTACACGCAAATTCATACCCCCACTGTGGTACAAGGTGGGGTCGGGGTGGAGGAGGGGGTGACTGGAACCCCTCCCAGGAGTTTTTGATAAGTTGCAGTATTTTGAAACTATTTTACCTTTAGTGGAAAGCCTCCCCATAGGGTTTTTCTGAGTTTTTTTCTTAGATGATAAAACATCAGTACCTGACGTTTTGTGTAGCTGTTCATTCATCCTTCGCGCACAATTTGAGACAAGTTTAGTGATTGTCAGTTGCTATGGTTACGACGTATGACGTCGTAGCAGGTGGTCAAGCCAATTTTGGGTGAAAATACATGTTTTTCAACTTCTTTCAACAATAATAGTAAATCTTGTGGCTAAAATCCCGCAAACGGCTTATTTATGTGTTATTTTTCATGTAAAGCACAAAAAAAAAACAGATTTGTCGCGGTTTTGACCTGATTCCTAATTTTTGGTAAAATCCAAGTTGGCGGCCAAGATGGCGACCATTGTTGGTGACGTCACAGGCCTCCAGCAGACCCACCACACCTAAAATATACCTCATGCTGTTAAGAAGATCAAAGGCTTTCCACCAAAGGTAAAATGGTTTTAAAATACTGCAACATATCAGAAACTTGGCGTCAGGTTTGGTTGGGGTTCCATCCAACGCTCCAGAGGTAATTAATTTTCCCCAACGCCCAATCACACGTTTGACACTGAACTGAAGAAATTTTCAAAAGAAGAAACTAAGAAATTAGAGTTTCTTTAAAACTGAGGTTTTTTTTGGCATAATCACGCAAGCACCGAACGTCAAGAGGTCACGTGACCATGGGCCTTGTCAATTTTTCTTCCGTCAGGTTTGAGGTTTGAGGTTCACGTCAAGAACTGGCTACAAGACCACGATTTTCCACTGGTAATTTCTCTTTTTTGCCGCAAAGGTTTTTTTTTTTACGTTACAACACCACAATCCCACGTTTGAGTAGGAATACAACTTTCCAGAACTCTTTTGCTTATATATTGGTTATCGAGATCGATTGCAAAAGGCAATTTCTCGACTATAATAGGGGTAAGAAAGTGGATAAATGGAAGCAAACATGGCAGTCGCGACCTATCGTCAGCAAATCTTAAGTCCCAAATATGGGCAGACAGGTAACGTGAAACCGTTAACCGCAAACCGTAGTTTGTTGTTTGCAGTAAAATGATCAACCTCGGTCTTAAGGCCTCTGATATTAGTACCCGGAGCGCACGTCGACAATGAAAATGTCTTATGTCCCTGGGGGATCTTCGGGAAAAAAAAATGATTTCAATGTCACTTTTCCCTCTTGAGAAACTTAAAGAAGGTAGGCATCAAAAACTATCAATTTCATTCAATTGTACAAGTCGACAACAATTTCTATTTTCTATGCCTTCTCGATCATAGAAAAGACGCGATAATGTATAATATTCAAACTTTGCAGTGAAACCACCGGGCTTCGACTCCTGAATGCACTTTAGTATTGAACATTTTGGCGTCATTTCTATGGTTACTAAGAGAATAGAATATAGGGAAGTTGTGAACACCCTTACCAAAAAAAGGTTCTCCGCTATTTCTCTTGCTGCGGCATAGCCTATAAGCAACGAACGCTATGACAAAACCCATTATTATACCACCTGCCGTAATGGAGGAAATGGCCACCAATGGAGAGTTCGTGGATCCATGCTCCTGCGGAAATTTACCAGGTTCTGTAAAAATACATGTTTAAAAGAAAAAAGGAAAAGGCAGAAGTTGTTGTTTTTGGTCATCGAAAGACAAAGACTATTATGGTGAAGTTGTCGTAGTAGATATTTTACATAAAATGATGATGATGATGATAATAACGGAACCATTGTCTGTAGGTTTCGTTCGTTTGATTCCAATGTTTTTATAGATTTCAAAATTAATACCAAAAGAATCTTCCTATAGCTGCTAAAATAAGTTAAATATACTTCACCAAAGCAATACTTAGAGTACTACCAGAAGATGCAAAAACACGTAAAAACTGACAATTTAATGTTGTCACGTTTCAACGACCTCGATCGGGATTTCAAAAGGATTTCGAACCTTGTATTTTAACATAAAGCAAGCTAAACTAGGCAACGACTACTCAATACTGTATCTAAAAAGATGTAAAATACCTGATGCTTCTTCCTTGGCCGGGAGGAGCAGGCAGATTTTTGTTGCCTCGACCAAAACATCTTTATTGAATTTCACGCCACAGGAATAATAACAACCCAAATCCTGCATGCTGACGTTAAAGAAATCAAGCCTGAGGAGTTTTGTTTTTGTGTTAGTCAAACTGGGATGATTGCGCGGTATGCCATTTCTCATTTTGTAATCCTTAGAACTGTCTGTAATTAATGTGTGGTTGACTTTCCAGTAAATAAATGGTAATGTAGTCGTAAGGACATTCGGATAGATGACTGTGCATGATAGTGTCGCAGAAGTATGAAGCTTTACAGAATCGTTCTTTGGCAGAGCGGAAGGGAAAGAACCTGCGAAGAGATTTAAACTTTTGTGAGTGAGATCTAACCGTGATTGATTTGCTTGTTAATCATACCATTTATCAGAAAATTAAAGTCGTTTTATGATCATATATTCGTAAAATAGTTATTTGGTACCCATATTGACTTCATCCAAAAATATTACCACAATCGTGAGCTTTTGCCAAGATTGATGAAACGTCTAACACAATTTATGGAGACCAACTAAGCAAAATTTCTTTTTAGGGACTAACAAGGTAAAGACCCTGCATCGCGGCGCAAAAGACGTTTTTGAAAAAATAGTTTTTAGATCATTATTTTATTTTATTTTATTATTATTTTTTTGTAATATAAAGAAAAATATCCTACCTTTTTTTAAGACATGCAGCTTTGATTGCTTTTCTGTAAATCCCTGAGTGGTGTTTATTCCACACAAGTATTCCCCCTCGTCAGCCATCGAAAGGTTGAGTATGGTCAGCACAATTTTAACCGGGCCGTTGTCCAGACCTCTCTTAGATATCATGGTCCTTGCTGATTGATTAACGTAATGCTTTTTGAATTTCCAGTAAACATAAGCGCTGTCCTCACTACATTTATTCGGTTGGCAAGTGCATTCTAATGTGGTATTCTTGCCTTCCAATGCTACAGCAGCAAACTGGTCCATATCATTGGGTAGGAAGATTTCTTCTGTTACCACTACCAAGAAATTAACGAGATAAGAAAATCGTGTATCTTTACAACGACAACACTCCCCCTTTTCCTTCTTGTCTTAAAGGGATCGGACTATGTCACGAGGGTATTACTGTTCTATGTTAATTCCGTGCTGATGTCATTACTTAGACCCATTTAATCAGAGAGCAGTGTTAAACTTAATATTTTTTATTGTTTTTTTTTTTTGCAGGCATGGCATTAAAACTTGAAAAAAGTTGGGCTAATTTTTCGGCCATGTTTCAATCCATTGCTGATCCTTGCAATCCGTTGCAGAAGACGACAGGAAACAGTTTCCCTACCTAAATATAGTCTTAAATAGCAAAACTGGACCATTATGTTTGTAATGCAACTGATATGAAGGCACATTTCAGCTTTTTAAAAAGATGGAATAGTTATATCATGGCCCTTTTAAAAACAGTCGTAATTTAAGAAGCTAGTCTCTAGACATCAACAACCCTCCTCCCTAGTTTAGCATAAGGAGCTGTACTCGTCTGTTACGTTACGCTGAGAGAATGGCATTAATTTCTGCTTGACGGTCTAACACAAAGTTCATTTATTCTCTCTTCTTCTTAAGAAAACTTGTTCGTTCCACGTTCCTAACAAAATAATTATAAACGGCAAATCTTTACTTACGTTTTATCATGATGTTGATATCTTGTGTGGAGGTTCCAAACAGGTTGTGGGCGCGACATGTGTAGGTCCCATGATGGTGATTTGAAGCTATAATTAACCTCATATTTAGCGCGTTAAAATTTGGCCCTCTACTGGAGCGATAGATGGAGTATGAGTTATATTTATAACCATGATAAATCTTTACTCCATTTTTCCACCAGGAAAGATTAGGTGCGGGCCATCCACTTGCTTTACAAACCACCTTTTTGTTAAGTCCTTTTTCCACTATTTCAACGGAAGGCAAGGGCTGTAAGGTCGGTTTACCTTAAAAAATAATAATACCTTTATGAACGAAATAAAATAAAGCCCATGTGTACTTTGAAGAGGGATTCAATGACAGGAAAGAATAGGAAGAAAGAAAGAAGCTGACGGAAAAGAACTGAAGGGAAGAACTGCGCAGTTCTATGAACTCGGTGTGGTTTAACAATATGATTATTGATGATAAGGCATAACAGCCTCCCATTCGAAATATTTTTAAGTCCTTATCAAGCTTATCTTCGTGGAGCTGACATCCTTGAAAACTATAGACTATTTCTCGACACGGTTTCAGTATATAAACATTTCTTTTGTAGATGCTCATCAAAAAGTAGTAGATAAATTCCAACAAGCAATATCTTTTTCTTCCGTTCAGTTTTAGAAATTTAGCTATTCCGCCTTTGAATTAATAGCAGTTCTTCTCGGCCCAAATCATATGAGAGCCGAATTCAATTCCAAATATTTCTAAGTTCTTAAAACCTTAATTTCTCCTATACTTTATCATTGCAGATACTCCTCAAAAAGTATCACTCGACATCTGTCGAGTAATATGAATTGCGTATTTGTGCATTTCTTTCTAGAAATTCTTTTTGGATCAATTTAGGTTTCTAGAGAAACTGACCACCCACCCCTCCCCTTTGTCAACATTATCACTTACTTCTCACTTAGGGCCGAAATCTTGGCTTAGGGCAGTTTCCCAGAAACCTAGATTGATCCTTCGCTGGCGCGCTGCGCTGCGCGCCGGTGCCTGGACGAAGTTCCTATTATTGGCAATAACTCAACGCCTCGATTGTATATTGACTATACACCTTCCAACTTTGCAAAAGACCTAGAGGGGAGGCTGGTTATAAAGAAATAGCCGGGGAATTTGAGCTTATCATCCAGAAACTGCGAAATATTTCGAATAAAGATTAATGCAATTTATCTTCAAATTTCAACTTACTTGGATTAGCCGAGCATGAATACAAGTTCTGACCTCGCTTTGCGGTACACTTGAACTTTCCGATAACCTGGTCATGGGAACTGCTGTTAACAGATACTGCTGACCAAGTTTTGTTGAAATCTTCTTTTATATGTAGTCCATTTCTCGTCCAGTTTACAGCTTCGACAGTGAGACCACTAAAGGAGCAGTTGAGAGCTTCATTGATGACGTTCGTCCTTATTGGAGTGATGACGCAACCAAAGTTGTATTCTGACAAACAAATCTTTGCGAAAACTGAAATGAAGCAGAAGTTAGGATAACTATTTACAAATTTAAATAGACCAAGTTCGAATCCACGTGTCTCTGTACTAACATTACATTCCAATGTGCGGAGAGTAGTGAAGGGGAAAATATTCCCTTGAACCTACAGTAGGCTACTCAGCGAACTTGAGTTTCTGTTTCTTTGTAAGTTAAGCTGCTGAAAAAAATTTGCTGGGAAGTGACATATTTTAGTCGCTAAACGCTTGACTCTAGGGGGCAAGATCAACAAAAAAATATCCCCCTTAAGATGGATTACCACTGTAGAGTAAGTTTTACTTGCGCACGCATTTAAATTTTGCTAGCGAAAATCAGATAGAGTCAATGTATGAATTAATTCATACATTACCTTGCCTCTATCTTATTTTCGCCAGTAAAATTTACATTTAACGCGTGTACGCACATAAAATTATACGACAATGAAAATACACCCTTAAGCAGAAAATTCTGGAACTTAAAACTTTTTAGGGAAATTAAAATGCAATCACCTGACTGACTAAAACTGCGCATTAATCACTGTCGCATTTTGACAGCACTATTTATTGAGAAGCACGCAGGTGCATGCCATAGTAACACATCAGTTCAGTAAATTTCAAGTATATGTTTCCTTCCCATATTCTATATTAAAGACACGCAAAAAAGCCAAAACTCTTAGTGCTATCTTTATTTAACGCAAATGGAAAATTAGCACGAGGATTTTGTACGTATTTAAATCCATATAGAACTGTCCTCTAATAAACTAACTACTCGCGTTTCGAAAGACTGGTGTCAATTACAGCAGAAATTTCTCAAACATTTGCGAAGCCCTCACAAACTCGAACTTGGATTGCTAATGCCGGCGAACAGAATTTTGTAATCGAGACTAATGAGTGGTGTGGCATTTACAATTATTGTTGTACGAAAGTTTTCACTGAACTCTCCATCTTTCAGTTTTCATGTATCATAACCTACGTAACATGACGATCACTGACTTCTAAAATGGTCGATCGTTTTAACCTCACGTGAAATATTCCCATCGTAAACGTTTTACAATATCATCTTACTTTCTACTGTAAAGGAAAAATACTCCAAGTAATATATACCCGCGCGATCGAAGTTTATTGTAGTGAAGGTTATCTTTTCCTTTAGCATACTTATAATTGCTCGCGTTTCGAAAAACTGGTGTCAATTACAGCAGAAATTTCTCAAACATTTGCGAAGCCCTCACAAACTCGAACTTGGATTGCTAATGCCGGCGAACAGAATTTTGTAATCGATATTAATGAGTGGTGTGGCATTTACAATTATTGTTATACGAAAGTTTTCACCGAACTCTCCATCTTTCAGTTTTGATGTATCATAACCTGTGTAACATGACGTTCACTGACTTCCAAAATAGTCGATCGTTTTAACCTCGCCTGAAATATTCCCATCGTAAACGTTTTACAATATCATCTTAGTTTCTACTGTAAGAGAAAAATACTTTATGTAATATATACCCGCGCGATCGTTGTAGTGAAGATTATCTTTTCCTTTAGCATGCTTATAACTTCCATTGTGTCGACTAAAAAATAAACACGAATATGCTAATTAAACAACTTTTCCTTTAATTGAAGACGGCAAAAAAGTGAGTTGTGATGAAATAAGTTTCCGAAGCAATCTATAATAACCTCTTTTTACCCCTTTTTAAACAACAAAATATTAACTAATAGAAGAAGACTTACCCGCAAAAATCGTCCATGGACTTCCAATGCGAGACATCTTTTGTAATTACAAATATACTTCGCGTAGGAATAAATAAATTCTAGACATAGACGGTTTTTTTTCCATGGGTAGAAAATGTTGTAACATCGGTGATTGAAAACTGCATTGCCGTGGAGTTAAAATCTGAAGCTTTTCTTTTCTTTCAGTACAGGGAATCCGTCATACACCTCTTGTGTTGGCGACAGGAATTCATATTGCAAGGAGATTGCTGTTATAGAAAAGACGGTCCAAATGCTGTTCCTGTTTTTGATGACTTAATAGAGGTATCTCGTTTCATTTGCATATTAACATCGATTACAGGAAGAGCAAAACATAGAATATGATAATCGCTGCCAAGTTCAGAAAGGTGTAAATGTAAAGTTCGGTTCTGTTGTCAAAAATAAAGAATTGATAGAAAAGTAAGAGCTTTAAATAATTGTTAAAAAAGGAATAAAACAGCTGAATCAGGTAAATTCAACATGAACTTATAAAACATTTATTTTATTCACGACTTCCCTTTCCGCGCGTGACTTTGGACTTCCGCAGATTATGCTTATCTAAGAGAAAATGTATTTTAAGGAAACAGGAATAACTAGAAGAGGGGTATTAATTCTTTCCCATAAGAAGAGGGTCTCAAAGCAAGGAGATTTGACTTTTGACGTTTTTTTTTTCCAATTTTGACGGTTGACGATTAAATTTTAGAGCTTTTGGCGCTTGACTGTTATCTTGTGGAAATTTTGTCCAAGATTCAAGAAAATGTTAATTTCTTTATAAATTAATATTAACTGCAAGTGAAAGGTTTGACCCCAGGATCATGCGCAACCTATACTTATTTAACGTCAGACGTGCAGACAAATTTATACCCCCACCGTAATACAAGGGGGGTGAATGTTGATGGAACCTCTCCCCAGAGTTTTTTGACATGTTGCGGTATTTCGAAACACTTTTGCCTTCAGTAGAAAGCCTTTGATCTTTCTCAGTGAGGTATATTTATGGGTGGTGGCGCTGCTGGAGCCCTGTGACGTCAACAATAATGGTCGCCACCTTGGCCGCCATCTTCGACTTTGCCAAGAATAAGAAATCAGATTAAGACCGCGAAAAACGGTATTTTTTGTGCGTGACACGTAAAATAACACATAAATAACCACTTTGCATCACTTCATCCACAAGCTTTGCTTTTATTGTTGAAAGAATTTGAAAAAACATGCATTTTCACTCAAAAATGGCTTGACCACCTGCTAGTTATGACGTCATATCTCGTGACCATGGTAACTGACCATCTCTAAACTTGTTTCAAAATACGCAGGAGAAATAAACGAAGAGCTACTGAAAATGTCAGTTGCTGATGTTTTATCGTCTAGGAAAAAAAATCAAAAAAACCTCAGACAGGAAGGGCAGGGGGAGGGGGAGGTGGAAAGAGTATGCCATGCAGATGAAATATAACCGGGCTAATTATGCAGTCTTATATACAAGCAAACTGAATGTTTGAAAGCGGAGACAAAATCGTGAAAGACCAAGTCATCCACGGTTAATAGGCTTATGGGAAGAGCTTGAGCCAAATGGCGGCTTGTGTCGTATTTTTGATAGGGCTATAGATCAGGAAAGGGTTGCGATAAGGCAAGCCTAACCCAATTGTCAGGAGCTCCTGAATTGTTTATTATTCAGAGTTAGGAAAAAATGAATGAAATAATAAATGAATTTAAAATAATAATTATGATAAATATAATATTAATAATAATGCTATAGATACGAGTGGTATATTTTTTCATTTCGTTCGTTATCCAATATATCGTTAAGATAATGTCCAAACGATTGGTATCTATATCATTCTGCCCGACGGGTTAATCTCATAAAAAAAAATAATAATAATAATTAAAATAGATACACACATTTATTGAACACATCCACATCTGGGGCTTTTCAGTGATCAAATAGGATTTTAAAAAATAATAATTTACAGGATTACAAGAGCAAAATCTATATATACAAGACCTATTGACATCATTCGGGCGACGATTTACATTTAAGTTACATTGAAATAGCTTGCTAACTTAAACTTCATACGGTCAATGTATACAATATGAATTATTTATCTTTAAAATGAAATTATTGTCAATTTCAAAATTTATTCAGAAGGTGATTTTTTAAAGCTCTTTTGAAGGAAGCGGAATTCTTGCATAATTTGATCCTTGAATCTAGCTTATTCCAGACAGATACACTTCTTTAATTAAAAAAGTTTTCTGCCGTGTCACAGTTTTAAAAAGAGGAATGTTTAGTTGTTGAAAGTTTCTGGTTGTACGTCCAGATACGCTGTCCCTTGTAGTAAACATATATCTTAATTATTCGGGCGCTTGACCCGTCATACATTTAAATTTTAAAGTAGCATCCCGACAAGACAGTTGTGTTTTTACAGGGAGCTAACGTAGATTTCTTAGGAGAGATATGGTCATACTTCTTTACGTTGCAAATACTTCGCGCGACAAA